CAGACAGACAGACAGACAGACAGACAGACAGACAGACAGACAGACAGATAGATAGATAGATAGATAGATAGATAGATAGATAGATAGATAGATAGATAGATAGATAGATAGATAGATAGATAGACATCTATTGCCTTTCAATAGAAAGAAGAAAAACACTTCCCAATGAAACAGTTAAGACTTGGAGATGTTCACTGTGTCTGGTTATTAGATGTCTTGCTGGTTCCAAAGACAGATGGATGGCAGAGATGAGTGGGGTCAGGTGGTGAGATGTGGGGAGGAAGGGAGTTGGTGAGTAAAGCCTTTTAATCTGAACTCTGAGGACTAACAGTCTGCATTGCAAAAACCATTATCATCCATTACCTTGACAACCACAGAGCTGGCTACCTCAGACCACCTCAGCTGATCTTTTTGAAGAAGATGTGATTTATGGAAATGAGATTTTGACCAAGTGCCCATTTCCTTCTGCAATAATATATCCCTCATGTCAAGAACAGAGTATTTTGGCATGACAATAATGTTATTAAAAACAGAACTGAAAAAGACACAAAAGTACTAAAGGTTTGGGAAAATACTGCTGAAAAAACTATGAGTAATATTGGTTCTATGTTGCTGTAATTTTAATGAGAAAAGCAACGGTAACTGAGTAGCAAGTTTCTTTCTTTTCTCTATCTCCTCTTTCTGTGTTCATGTCTTTCTCCTCAGGTGTTCCCTTCTCACTATCTTTAATTTATATTTTGTATATTTCATATAAGTCTTTTGTATCCATGTTTGGTCATGCAAGTTTTTGTTTTGTCTGTTTTTGTTTCACCTTTCTTTGATTTTGCCACCTGTGCTTTATCCCTAATGAGCCTTCTGGGTTTATAGAAACCTCTCTCTTCCTTCTGTTCTTTGTTCTGGTGTCATTTGTGTAATCCTCAGTGTGTGTCATGCTCTTGTGTCCTCATGTTTCCTGGCATTTCCTAGTTCTTTGGACTTTTTGTATCACATTTGGAACCTTGATCAACCTCTATAAAGGCTTGCCTTTTGTTTAGCTCTACATTCGGGCTCTGCACACCACCACCCCACCAAAAAAAAATATAAATAAATAAATAATTAAAACAGTTGCAACATGGTAAAAAAAAAAAAGTACCAGTATTTGGTTAAATTCCAGAAAAAATATCAATTCTGCTTTTGTTTGGTGTTAGAAAGATCAGACTGTCAGTGGCACATTTAACTGCTGAAGGTAGTAAAAACCACAACAGCAGTGGTTCATAAAGGATTTCTTTGTTACTTGGCCATAAAATCACAGGGACTGTAGACCAATCATAGTGCCTTTATTCAGTGGGAGACAGTGAATAAAGGCCCTAGGACTTTACTATTTGGCCTCTGAGTGTTGTTGCTAGTAAAGAAGAAAAACAACAACGCACTGTCTTGAATTCTAATTGGTATCTCTTAATGCAGGTTAAACAAGATGGCACACTGTAAGTCTGGCAGAGATTTGTTGATTAAAAAGGCTCCATCTCTAAGGATTAATAGCGTGCTTGCATCATTAAGGTGACAGTAATTGTTTCGCCCCTCTGAATTTTTCCGGCAATCACCACCGTTGCCCCAGTTCTGGTCACTGAGGTAATATGTCCTCATGATTAAACATCCACGCAGAAAGAGAGTAAAAGTGGTGCTGCAGACCTCTCCTTCTCTTTGCTCCCTGCTGCAAGAGTTTTATGAAGGGCCAAGTCAAACAGCTGATTCATAGATCCAGCACAAGAAGACCATCTCATCTGCAGGACTTACAAAAAGAAGGGGTGTGGGGCAGAATCTTAAAACTGAAATGATCTCAGGCCAAGGTAAAACTGCAGCCAGCTAAGTTTGACTGCTCTGGCATTTTGCGTCCAGAAACCCCAGTGTGAACCTCTCAGCTACCATTCTTCAACCTGGCTGATGTCTGAATCTACATGGCCACATACCAAACTGAATCCTGACCAACAAGCTGGAAACACGACTATCTCAGCCCCACCTTCATCACTACATCAAGGACAGACAAGGTTTGAATTAAGGGAAAGGCCTTAATCAAAACTAGGTGCTTTGGGTTTAAAAAAAAAGTGTTACACCCACAAAATGATGTCCTGCAACAAATTAAACAAGATGAATTTAACCTATCTGCATTAAACCGTGTGAACATGAGTCTTGCATCCCCCAACGACTACGCAGGTGGGGAGAGTGCTTGATTGTGTCCCTCACACCCCTGCTGCACTTGTTTGGTCAGGACAAATTATACTTTTTAGTGACTTTGCATAATTCCCTGCATAGTTGATCCAACTCAGACACTGATATTGTTAGGAATATTAAAAAACAACAACATAATTTAATGCAGATTTTATTTATGCCTAAAACTAGATGTATTTCTTGTCTGTAAACTGATCCTCATGGTGCAGTATAGTTTTCATTTTACTCCTCGTCCTTCTTGAGAGAAATCATTGTACATGAGATTACTATGAACCTACCATATCTTTACATTTACCTGGTGTGCAGGGCTCTTGGCTGATTAACTGAGACTTGTGGAGGGGAAATAAGTAGATTTAATTTTCTGCCATTATGCAAAAATGGTTCTTTCCTTTATATAAAAATATCCTGTTACAAGTTCAATATTAAAAGCATATAAAATTCTTAAACCTACTTCCAATTTTCCCTACTAGTCACATATAATACAGGGGCACTGAGCTCCTTTAATTTATATGCTTAATTAGATCCCATCTAAGGAGTTTGTGGAGCGTGCCTGTCTGTCTGAATCTCCTACTTGCTTCATTCACCTTCAACGGTGGGAAGGTTTTCATACTTCGATTATTTCCATAAGAGTCTCTCCCCCCAAAAGAGGACTAATTGGGGAAAATAAATGAAAACACCTGTTCTTGTGCAATAAACAAAGGATCTGAGCACTCTTCCACTGCTGGTACTGACTGTAGGCTGGTGCCGATGGAGACTTGACAGTTAAAAACAACACAGCTGAATGCTTGGGTTCTACTGAAGCTGCAAGGCCTCATGGGAAAAGGGTTTTAATGAAAATCAGGGGGGCTTAACTGGGACAGACTGAACAGCAATATGACTCAGCACCACTAGGTCCAAACAGAGCGTAGCCACAAAGAAGACGTCAGAGAGACGGGGTTTAGAGCCCAAGCTCCAGTCTGCCTGTCAGCAGGAATGCTGGGGGCCCAAATACACAC